CATCCTCCTCCTCATCATCAGCATCATCGTGGTGCGATGCTTTCTGTCTAGGTGTTTATATGGCTGTGATACCAGCCGCGGAGTCATCCGGACAAAAGCCAAAGTACTTTGGGATTCGGCTTCATGGGGTTCGAAGTCCGCAACCGAAGCCTTAACTCCTACACCTTGACTCCAGACCCCAAGCCCCAAACCCTAACTGGTCCTAGAATCCTAGAACTCCTAAAGCCCAAAGTTGCCGCTTTTGGAGGCCGGCGGTCGCCTTCGCCTGCGTCCTCCAGGCACCGAGCTGGGATCCTTCGACCTCTCCGGGGCCCTCGAGCGCTTCTCCTGGGGAAACCTTCCCTACGCCGGGGACGCTCAGGTCCGAGAGCCAAACTATAGTGACTATAGTGATGGACACAAAAAAATGGAGAGTTCACTGCTTGTGATTGTTTTTTTGCGATGACTACACTGAGTATGTCTGTTGCCTTGATGACTGTGGCAATGTAGTATCCTTGTCACTGCCTCTGCAGTCTTGTGCTTCTTCTATGCTTCTTCTCTTTGCCGGCGGCTTTGCGTTATTCAAGCGGCCAGGGTTCCCGGGTGTATAAGCTGCAGAAGGCCTTATCAGTGATTTCTGGTGATTGCGGATGTTCTGCACCGGACGGCGATCCCTTCTTGTCCCTTCAGGTGCAGGCCGCTCAGGCTGTGCAAGCAAGCGCGCGGAGCCTTGAAGTGGCACTGTGCTGTGAGCTGCTGAGCAGACGAAGCTACTACTTCGAGTTTGGCCTCCGCCATCCAACAGCAGACAGGATGCCAGACCCTGCAGAACCCGAATTGAATGTGTGGATATTTGAGACGCTGACGGCAGAAGGGTCTGTGAAGCACTATGGACAGATTCGCGGCTACAGGATGCTCGGCGACCATTCAGACTGTATCATGTTGCATTCAACGTTTTTTCCTGGGTCCCAGAAGCGACGTCTACATTGCAAGCTTCTGAACCATAAGGCCTGAACCACCCAAATTCAGGCTAAACCGTCAACTCTAAAATAGTTGCGGCTTCTGACCTCCTGGCACAGACGTTTGGGAAGAATGCGTTCAGCAACAACAGCAGCCTGAATCCAATGAACCCAGAAAACCCTGAACCCCTGAGACAGCCTTAAACCCCAAAGCCCAAAAACCCCTAGAACCCCCCTTCCCCCCCCCAAAAAAAAAGAAGAAGCCCCTCTTAAACCCTAAACCCTTAAACCCTAAAGCCCAAAACCCCTCGAACCAAGAAAAAAACAAACAAGAAACCCCTAGAGCCTCCCACTGAACCCCTGACAAAGCCTGAAACCCTAAACCCTTAAACCCTAAAGCTCGAAACCCCTAGAGCCCCCGAGCCTCCAACGAGGATCTTCCGAAGCTTCGCCCGGGCCAGCGTGGAGCTGGAGAGCGAGTTGTTGGTGGGTGGCGTGGGCGCCTCTTCTCCCAAAGAGTTCGGGGCCTTTTGGGGCTGGGGGGGTTTCGTGGTTTCGGAGTTTGGGGTTTAGTAGGGTTTAGTGGCTTAGGGGGTTTGGGGATTCGGGGGTTGGGGTTGGTGAGTATGTTTCAGATTCGGGCCTAAGGGTTGGGGCCTCAGGGTCCAGGGTCGACGGTCTTATCGTTCCGTACTTCGAGGAAGAGGGCAGGGTCGGGGACAGAGTGCCTTGTTTTCTTGTTGTCTTTCGATGATTTCGGTGGTGGTGATTGCCTACTATAAACCCTGAACCCTAAACCCTAAACCCTGTAATGGTGATGATCACTATCCCCTTCGTCGAGGTGAGGGACTGCAGGAGCGGACAGTGTCGGTCAGCTTTTCTCTGCCCTTCGCCGTTGCCCTGTGCCAGCTCTGCATTTAGGGTCTAGGCTTCCAGGAGCGGGTGCTAATCTTCTTGGTGGGGCTTGTTCTTCCCGGAAGCCTCAGAAAGGAAGCAGAGGGGCAAGGACAGTGGGAGGCTGGGAAAAGGCCAGAACACTGCTTTCTGACACAACCCCAATTCGAAGAGCTTTGAGGCACAGCAGAAGCAGGCTGCGGCTCTTGGCTCCGCGTGGATGGCAGTTCCCGGATGCTTGCCTCAAGACCCCAAGCCCCGTTGAGCCTTCAGGGTGTAACCGCGAGCGGTAACCTTCATGTGAAGTTTGCAGGCGTATTGCTGGGGGCTTGTGCGATTCAGGGCTTTCGCTTGGATTTCGCACGTTTCACATATAGGCCCTTGATCCAACGCGGAAACAGAACACTGAGCCTTGGGCCTCACGCAGCAATGTCAACGATTGGCAAATGCCCGAGGACAACTGCGACTTGAGTGTGCAGCTGGGGCCTTTCACGACAGTGGCCAGTTGCACAGCATCGCAGAACATGCTGAGCCTGCTTATTTCCGGCAGCATCAACCCGGGCATCGAGGGAAGGCGCTGCCCTCTCGAGAATCGGTGTGATGATTATATAAGTACCTGGAAAGCCAGTAGTCTGTATTTTTGGGCTACTTTGAGCCAATTATAGACTACTTTAGGGTATGGTAGTCTGTTTTTTAGGGCTACTTGGCTTTTCAGGTATGAGCCAGTATGAATGCACAAAACTTCAGGATGTTGAGGTGTCAGGGTTAGGCTTGCTGCGGTCTCGCTTGATGCTTTTGGGACTCTGCGTTCACCCGTTCACCTCAAAAAGACTTTGTCTCTCGTGCGGGCCTGGCCCTGCAACCAAAGCTTCTGCCTTCAGACACAACCCAAAGCCAATCATCCAAGACCCTGAGGTTTCCATGAGCGAAACCCCACAAGCGGGTCCTACGTGTCTGTCAGTTTCAGAACACTTCTTCCGGCTGCCAGGTCCTTTGGGATCCAGGTGGCAGTGAAGCCTCCAGCAGCTCAGATCATTGGGGGCTTGAGAAGGTCTGGGGACGCTCTGAACCTGAAGGAGCTTTGGGGTCACTGCGCCCTAGACCCCAAACCCTTGAGGTTTCAAACCAGCTGCCTCAAAACGAAGCCCGGAACCCAGGTGAGTGTAGCGATCCACGACTTCTGGTTCTTGGAGGCCTATGGGGCGGTCGGCACGCCAGACACACTGGTCGATCCGAACAGGCGGCCGGGCTATATAAGTGCAAGCGGCAATAGTTGCTTGCTCGATTAGAGGCGTTTGGCTTGTCTCTTGCTGGTATGACAGGGCCCCCACACGGAAACACACGCATGAGCTACAACTACAGGATTGCACATCGTTGTTGCGGGTACACTATGTGGATTTAGGGTTCCACCCTGCCCCTAAATCCGAAACCCACTGAATTCTAGTAGTATCACTGCAGCCAAGTGTGGTACTTCGACCCCACCTCCCGAAGAAAGTAACCTCCAGGTACGAAAGCTTGGACTTCAACTTGGAGCCTCGCTTGGCCTTGCCTGTCTTGGGCACCGCCCGGCGCCAGGGGGCAACGGGCGGCACAGCCATGGCCCAGGCTCGGGACCTCTGTCGGGACAGTTTGTGTCTTCCGTTTCGGGGTGCTGGTGGTGGGATGTTGTGGGGTCCCACCTCTAGGTTACCGGGAATCGGGCGCCGACACAAGTTCCACAAAGGTCCAGCAAGCCCGAGGAGTGCCGAAGCCTCCCGCTCGGCCCTAGTGTCCCAGGGTTCATTGAGAGAAATCTGTTCTTGGAAAATTGGAACATGAGTCACAGCTGCCCTAGCTCCCAGAATTCTTCTTGCACTACCGGGTAATTTGTAGCTTGCGGTTTATTGTCGAAGGAGGGGGTATCATGTAGAACAGGGTGACTTCCGAATCAGACTATCACCCTAAACACGGAAACCTCTGCATGCTGTTGAGCTGCCTTTCAGTCTCAAGGCTGTCGACGACCTACTTCCCCCCTTTATGAAAATATGCTAAAAATCCCCTTTGTGAAACGTAAACCATAAATCTTATGGAGTTGGTAACGACGACGAATCCTTGGCAGGTGCTCCTTTCGGCCCAGCCTCCCGAGTCGCGGCGGACTTGGAGGTGCTTTGCGGAAGGGGTCCTTGTAGAGTTGAAAACGTGTCTCCGTGTGTGTGTGTGTGTGATGCTCTAGAGTTAGTTCGTATTAAAACAAGATACAATACGCCAGAGTGTACCATAATATACGACACGATGCCACGCCACGCCATGCCATGCCATTCCATGATCCAAGCCCGTGACTCCACAGACTTGACCTTAAACTCAAGACAAGATGGGGACGGATCTGAGAGAATGAAAAATCGCTTACAACTTGCAAGGCTCCCCACCTCCATGGTCGCAGCGCTGAGCTTCTCTTTGCCGACAGTGCCCTCGCGGCTGGTAGCTTGCTTGCCTTTAGCGCTTCAGGGTCTGAAGTGTCGTTTTGCAGGCTGATCTCGTGATTATTCGTTCGTCTGGCTGTGCGCTTCTTTGTTTGCATCGTGTTTTTCTGCATGCTCCTTCCGACGTAAACGTAAACGAGTCCGCAGCATGTCGTCGTGCGTCTGTCTGCAAGGTCAACGCCTCCCTGAGGGTCTCTGTGGAGATCGACTGGGTGGTGCTTCGGTGCTCGCTGCCCCCGCGCCCGTTTCATACCGGGAGCCTTCCCCCTGGAGCCCGGAGACTGAGAGAGGGAGTGAGGCAGAGGCCAGGTAGGAAGATGGTATGTCATGGACTCGGAGAGGGAGAGATTCTGAGATGGAGGTGGGGAGAGAAGCCGGGAGACATGGAAGAACCTGATTACCAAGCCTGTGCACTTTGCGCCCTGGACATCCCTTTTGCCCCCAAACCCTGAACCCTAAACCCTAAACCCTGAACCAGCCAGCGCAGCGTCTGCTTTGCCGGGCAGGAGCCCAGTGCTTCGATTCTTCGAGCACGTCACGGCAGATGCGGCAGACGGAGGTGCCGGTTTCTTTGGGCTTCGGGGCTTAGGCTTCGGGACACGGTTTCCAGTAAAGGTTGTTCCCAACTGGGTGCATGAGGTCTGAGGTCTCAGCTTGGGTTCAAGCTGGTTGAAGGTTTGGGATTTTATCGAAGATTTCAGATGTCAGGCATACTGAGGTTCACAGCAGGCGCTGTGTACCAGTGCTGAGGTCTCAAGAAAAGCCTGGATGTGCATTAGCTTTCAGGTTGTGATCACCATCGACGACCTCATCCCGCTTCGGGCTACTCGGGACGAAGACGCAGTGATTCTCAACCCGATTCAGGGGGTGCGCATAAGTCCTGGAGCATAGACATCAGCTTGCATGTGGTCCGATTTCGTGTCTGTGAGTCTTTCGGGTGAGGCTTGTCTGTTTGGTCTTGGTGGCCCTGTCGATCGGTCTAACTCCTGAACCTTGCGTCGTGGCCTCAAGCCCTAAGGCGGGCATCTACAACTTCTCTCTGGTGGTCGTTACACAGTCGGCAGTGCCGCACATCGAGGCTTCTTGAGAAGACAAGGGCTACTGGGCGGCTGTATTTTCCCAAGACTTGCGGAGAGGCGCGTCCCTAAACTCTAATCCGTGAAGCCTGAACCCGAAGGTGCCCAAACTAACTAAGTAACTACAGTAACTAAACGCCTGCGTGCCAGGACATACGCATGCAGTAAGCACTCAAAAGCTAAACCCACCCCAACCTGGACAGGCCTTCGCCTGGCCGCGTGCTTCGTCCTGGGCTTTGAGCCTGGGCTCCGGGTCCCTCGACTTCAGGACCCGAAGGGTTTTGGAGTTCAGGGTTTGCGGCCTTGGTAGGGCATGGCCAACCCCAGTGGAGTTCGCGTTGGGTTCCAAGTGCAGCATGAGGGCAGGGGAGGGGAGGGCTGGGGAGGGGAGGGGGAGGGCCCGAGCTGATGCAAATGATGCGTGGAGCCTGCTCCAGCTGATGCT